AAAAATGTTTTCCTTTCCCTAAGAACTTGATAAATACCTTTATTTTAGAAGTAGTATTCATCATGGACTGACACCAGTTAAGGAACCATTGAAAATCTGGAAACAATTGACAGCTGTTTCGTCCTATTATGACTTGCTTCCAGATGTATACCAAGAAACTCTAATGAGAAGCTGTGACATATTGAGTCAACCTATCTGAAGTGAACCGGATGCTTACTGAAGACGTTAGGTGATAGTATCGCCATGTTGTCAATTGACAGAAGTCGTAAATTGCGAACCACTGAAAACCCACCCAATGGGTGAATGGTTAACACATTCACCGTGAAACCTAAAGGTCCTCAGGTTCACCCCTAGTCTGGTCATAGGTGCGTACTGCTAAAGAGTCCCATACTAGTTGGACGAAACAGCTGTCCAGTGCTCCCAGATTTTCAATGGTTCCCCAACTAATGTCAGTCCATGGTGAGTACTACTTCTAAATAAAAAATCCCCGTTCATCTCAAAAGGTAAAATACCTTTACCATCATCTGTTTCTTGTTATTCGTGTGTATGAGTGTCAATGTTCTTGTTTTGCCATGAAATTAGACATTGAATGAGAAACACAAAAATAAACTGCTAGCCAAAAAAATCTAATATCTCTTTCCATCGTTTCCACTTTGCACTCATATCCTAATTAGGACAAAATAGAATTTCTGGGAAAAACGATATCATAATTTATAAAGAACTTGTATATGCTTTCGATTGCTTAGTTGTAGTTTATTATCATCATTATTTTTCCCTTGGGTTCCTAGTGGAACATAGTGCTTCACTAGCACACATCCATTCCACTCTCTTCTCTGCAGTCTTTTCAACTTCGCTCCATGACTGCCCATCACCTTTCATTTCATCCTCACATGATCTCCTCCATGTCACCTTCAGCTGCGACGCCCAACTCATCGTTTTCCATTTCAGTTCCACTCGATGGCCTGGTCTGGAAAGTGATGTCCACAATCAGCCCTCTCAATGTATGACCAATCCAATCCATCTTTTTATTCCTCTGAATATTTGTTGTATGATAGGTTGTTGCTTTGTTGGTTCGTTGCCAGCCAGCCAGCCAACTTGCTTATTATTATTATGATTCTGCCCATCTGATTTCATCTGCAGTATTGAGTGAGCGAGCGAGCGAGCGTAGGTGGCAGCTGTTGATGTGTCTCTGTAGTTTGTTTATTTGTATTTTGTTTTGTCTTTTTTCCTGTCACCTGAAAAATGTTGAAATTCGATCGTTCATTAAAAAAAAAGACTAAACAAATTAGAGAAGGGAACTGAAAAAGGTAGTGAAGAGATAGAAGGATATATTATAATGATATGCATTGTGAAGGGTAAGAGCATATGATATTTTTCAATTCTACATCAATGTTTTTAAGAAGCATTAAATAAAATATCATTAACAGTAAATGAAAATGAAATCCATTTATAAATGAGTAGTGAAGTCTTGCTGTGAATTACCATAGAATTCTTGATAGGTGATAGTTGAGCATGAAACAGAAGGGGAATAGTATGACAATATATACAGCTGACAGCTTCCTGAAAACTTGCACATTAATTGGTTAACTGAGTAGAATATTAATTGATATTTAGAGTTTTGTAACAGTCTCAGTAATCTGTAATGATTAGTCATGACGTGAATTGTAATCTAAAAATCAGGTGATTATTTAGCCCGCTAAGGAGGCACGCATTTTGGTAGCCTCCAGTGACAACATTCATATATCTTGTTTCTGTTTTGCTTGAAGGCGTATAATATCTACCGTCAAGCTGAATGATATAGCCACATCTAGACAAAGGAAATGGTCTATGAAATAAATAAGACACTTTTGAGATCACTGTGACCCACTTCTTTGAGAATTAAGTCAGACTTACTAAAACTCAGGAAAAATTAGTTCTCAGTTTTTCTTAGTGACAACAGTATTTCAAATTACTATTCATCATAGACTGGCAGCAGCTGAAGAACCACTGATAGTCACGGAGGATTGAAAATACTTGTCGACATAGCATAGGACTTCTTACTCATGCAAAACTATGGTCCTTTCAGCGATCAAGTCCGAACCTTTAGGTTTTATGGTAAAAAAATCGCGGTTGAACCACTGAGTCAGAATCTAATGGTCATTTCCCGATATAGTGAGGCCTCCATCCAGTCCTTCATTGAATACCTGTCCTGATGTCTGACTTAGTGTCTTGTGGCGATCTCATCCTGAAGCAAGTTACCAACCAACAATGAAAACCAACTTGATATCGATAACGCCGCTGAGGAGAGCTCAAGCGTTTTGAATGGTTCTCCAAACGATTTCACACCAAGCCAACCTGAAATCAGTAAAATCTCCAGAAACTTCCAAATAGGACTTAAGTGTTTCCTATATATTTCTGATAAAAAGTATTTGTTGTAAACTAGCTGTGTCTTACGATTACATTCAAAAATTCTATCAAACGGAATGATAACCAATCTTCAATGCTTATTATTATTTTTTTCCATTGGGTCCTAGTGTAACATACGGATTCACTAGAACACCTCCATTACACTCTCTTCTCTCCAGTCTTCCAAACCTGGCTCCACGACTGCACATCACCCTTCATTTCTTCCTCAACAATCTCCTCCATGTCATCCTCACCTCGGAAGTACAACTCGTCGTTTCCCCTTTGCATTACACTAGACATCCTGGCCTAATCTGGCATGTGATATCTCCAACCGACCTTCTCATGAATGCCCAATCCATCTCCACTCTATTCTTCTGAATATTTGTTGTGTGATAGGTTGTTGCTTCGTTGGTCCGTTGCCAGCAGCCAGCCATCCAGCCAGCCAGCCAGCCAGCCAGCCAGCCAGCCAGCCAGCCAGCCAGCCAGCCAGCCAGCCAGTCAGTCAGTCAGCCAGCCAACTTGCTTATTATTATTATGATTCTACCCATCTGATCTCATCTTCAGTATCGAGTGAGCGAGCGAGCTGGTGTGGGTGGCAGCTGTTGATGAATGTGTGTAGTCTGTTAGAAGTGCTTTTCATGACACGCGAAGTCTCTCAACCATCACATAGCAGCACTGACTCACTTGGCTGACAGTGATGTTGAAAATCTGAATCCGGATGTTGTTCACGCATGATGCTGAGTGCAGTGCAGTGCAGTGCAGTGCAGTAGATTTCCACACTGATTTCAGATTAAGGAAGTAAGGGCTGTCTTACTGTCTTTCTGATCCTGGCTGGTTTTGACATTCTCATCTGTGCTTGTGCCGCCTGTAGTTGAAACGATTCTGCCTTGCCTGTCTAGGTATGGTTGGTAGAGACAACTTCCTTTTGATTTCTCCCGTTGATGTTGATTGATGCTGTTGTTGGTTGGGTATCTTCCTCACCTATGTCTTCTCTACGTTCACTTGAAGGCAGTCCCGTTTTCGCTACCCTGTTTCTTCTATCATCTTGTTGGTTTTCGCTTCCAGATCTTTGAGTTTGTGCGACAAGACATAACACATAAAATATCATCGTTGGTGAAATCCAAATCTTCTAGGCTCTTTTAATTGGTCAAACACCGTATGCACATCTTCTGACAGCCCCTCATGGTTTGCTGCAGGATCCAGTGCAGTTGACCACAACCAGGAAGATCATGGGTGATAGTAGGCGGCAGCCTTGTCCTGTCTCACTCCTGTCTTCGCTTCAAAGGCATCACTGAGCCTTCCATTGTGGATCATTTGGCGTATGGCCTTGTCATATAGCTACTATTGAATGAGGTTGACGAAGGTTTGTGGCACTGAAACCGTAGTTTTGAAGCAACTGCCGAATTACTTCTCCATCGACGCTATCCTAAATGATACTTTTTTGAATATTACATTCTTCAATCAACTTTAAAGCATTCTGATATCAAGTCTAAAAGCCTATTTTTTATCAACGAAGTAAAAATAATTAAACGACCATTTTCTTCTTAAGTCGTTCATAAACCTTAGGAAAGCAAGTGACTAACACCTTGCCTTATACGTAATGGTAGGGAGCATCTGACCACTAGACATCAGACAGACAGACAGACAAAAAAAATCAACGAGAAACCTTGCACACAAGTGTATTGGTTCAGCTCACCACACTTCACATCAGTAAACAAAGAACATGAGGAAACCATTAGGGAGATATCGAAGCGGAAAAATTCAAGTGAGAGAACAGGAAGTTTGAAGAGAATGGTTAGTGCAAATATTCAAACTTTAGATGTCAAAATGGGAAGACAAACGCGCCACTTTGACTGAATTTCAGCCATGTTACCAACAGTCCTCAACCACTGATTTTTCAGACAGGCAGTTTATATCTCCCCCACATGGATCAGACCAACAGTCATGGAACAAGTAATACGTCTTGTTCTATCCACCCTCAACGCTCTTTCAACCTAACTAAGTTCCTTAGTATGGTGCTTTAAGGTAGGTGATGGTTCGGCATACGCAGTATATAGCCAAGCCATCTCATCCGATGACGGTTAACAGCCTCATCAATCTTCTTGCATGTCTTGCCTAGTAGCCCTTCATCTAACCTCAACATTACTCACATGATGATTCCACCAAACGTGAACGGTGCTACAATAGCATCTGTAATTAAAGCCCTGCAAGTGCTTCAAATGTTCTAAATTTCACAGCCATATAACAGGACAGAATGGAGTGCAATATAGCACACTCGTCGTTTAATAGGTAGTCGAATATCCCACAAGTTGCCGCCATGCATGAGGCAAGCTGGTAAATACCAAATGGACCTTCGTTGTTCGAGCTAAGATTTCGGGCTGATACAACTCCCCAAGTAAGCGAAGTGGTCAACATTCCATCACTTTAATCTCCGTCTTTAAACTCAATGTAGTTATGCATCAGTCATGGAGTTTTATATTACATTTGACGTGATGAATAGTGATGAATGTAAATTGGTATACATTGTATAGACAATAACAATTTTTATGACATTTTGACAATAACTTCATCTACTGATTTTTCATTATTTTACCCTCTTTTAACTTTTTTAAAAGTCATGATCAGTTTATACAGAAATATTTAATCCAGGATTTCCAAAATTGTGTGCCATTTAGTTTACTCTATGAAATCTTTCAATCCATCCGATTGCATCATATACCTGTTGAAGCTATATCAGGAGGGTGTTATTCGACAGCATCTGTTGAATCTAACTTCCAGTTGAATGAAGAAAATCCTAATGGAAAGTAAGTAAATCCATAGTAATGTGTACTTCATACATGTAAATTGTAACTGCAAATTTTCTGTAGGCCAATTTATCATTTTAGGAAGATTATTGTTCAAAAGTTGTTATTAATCAATGTGCTCCTTATACAAAGGAAACATCTGGTATAGCATAAGGATGCATCAACACTGCTGTTCTTCATTTATGTTATTAATATCTGATCCATTACTAAAATTGACATTCTTCACCAGTTGGACGAAAACAGCGAGGATTTATCTTCGAAAGTGAAGCGTATAAATGGGTTAGCCAATGTATGTGATACATGTAAAAGTGTTAGGTACTGACGAGTGGGAATACTTTGGCATATTAGCTGAAGATAAAAAGAAGATAGATAAGTTAGCAAATAAATAGTTATCGAACTGCTGAAATTGTAAATCTGAATATTTTCTTGCTGAAAACATCTGACAGGAAACGCTAAGGTATTGCGCGCGTTGATTAATTATATGAGATATTCACAGACAACAAAGAATGTTATATACTCTCTGAAATGCATTAAAAAAAATATAAGAACAGAAGAGGCACTTTGGATTTCACCACTCTTTTATTTCACGAGAATATAATAGTTAATAATTAATAGTCGTGTAAGTCTTGTTAATAGGCTTCATAAAAGGCCAAGTATGTTAAGTGTGCCGTTTTTAGAACATACTTCGGCTATTGATTCTGCCCCACTACCAATTTCTGCCAAACAGGACAAATGCTGATTTCTAGATAATCAGCAGGCTGCATTCCTACTCCTCTGATAGGAAACAACATACTGTTCAAAGAGGGGAGTACTGCACCGCATTGCTTACAGGGACTGCAGTTCAAAAGGTGAGAAACCTACAACTATATGTGATATTGTTCTCTCTGCATGACTCACCATCTTCAGCTGCCATCACTTTCATTTAATATGCACATAAGAGTTTCCATACCTATCTCATCTTAAACACATTGCTCAAAATTCAATGATTTGACCAGTAATGTTAGACCATGGTCTTCCGAGAAAACCCTCATGCTTAATTCTTCAAAATGTCACATAATCAACTTCTGTTTCCAACGTCAACATAACCTACGTAAACTCCTTAATTCCGATGATTCCTGTTCCACTGAGGGTTGCATATTACAGAATGTTACACGTGTGATTTATCGCCACGTGTGTGTTTCTCTACTGACCTCTCCTGGTCTCCTCATATCTTAACAATTCCAGAAAGAATTTTCCACCTCACTTACTGTATTAGGAAGCTGAGAGTATCTGACATAACTCAGTCCCCCCACTTGTGTTTTATAAACTCCTACATCTCGCATGTCCTCCTCTATTGTTCCTCTTCACGTTTTCCTGGGTGGATGAAAAAGACTATTCTACACTGCACAGGACTTTGAAGATTGTCAGCAGAACTAGTGGTGTACCTCTGAACCTCCTAGTTAAAACAGCCGTCGACAAACATATTGACTCGTATGAACATTATCAGGAGTAATTTTTCAGGTGGCTAGCATCCTCTTCATTCAAACCTCTCTAAATGTTGATCGTCAGGTAAGACCATGAGCAAGTATATAAAGCTTTATGCATGTACTACTCAAATATAAAACTCCACAATACTTTTTTGGTCTACCTCTTGTGCAACAAAGAAAATATTAGAAATGAGCCAACTAATCAACTTTTGATTATGAAAGTAATCTAATTGATAATGAGCATGATATTATTTACGTATTATGAAGCTAATGGCTAGTGTGATTATCTATCTAAATTAACTTTGCATTTTTGAAGAAAGTTAAAGAGACAGTGAATGTTCTTATCTTTTTATACATAATTTCTACTTATTTCATTTTGTTATGTACATACATGTAAACTGTCTCTATCCAAGTGATGCTATATGAAATGCTAAAAACTGTGTAGATTATTCCCAAAATATCTTTTAGAATAAATCCATTTGAAGAATGAAAAAAATTCCTTATCTGTCAATTTTCTGGTGGATATGTCGTAGAATGGCTTGAAAATTAAACAGAGGGATATAAAAATTATCTCCACAACCCCCTCAAAAAAGTTTAATTGAACTGGTGCTCATTGGTGACTAGCTTCGAGAAGTGTTCTCGAAGTTCCAATGAGAAGTCGTGACCGGTGGAGTCAAAGCCTGATGGCCGTGAGGACAAATACTCAACGATGACATTGGGTGGCAGTTTGCGCTATATCGTGAGCTAACAGAAGTTGGAAATATGGAGCATTGGATTCTGACCCAGTGGCTCAATGGTAACGCGCTGGCCGCTGAACCTGAAGGTGGTGGGTTCGATCCCTGCTGGTGGGGTGGTGGGTGCGCACTGCTGAGGAGTCCCACAGTAGGACGAAACAGCTGTCCAGTGCTCCCAGGTTTCCTTTGTTCCTCCAACTGATGTCAGTCTTCGATGAATAGCAACTTGAAAATTTATCTCATTTATTCCATATGAAATTTGTAGTTGTCTGGAAAAGAAGAAATATTTTCCAGTTGTTAGAAGGAAAACTATGGTGGTTGTTGACTTCTTGATGGGTAACTTTCATTCTGTATTTCAGAGTTAATATTAAGAACCTTCAAGAGGAAGAATGCAAACTCTTGTTAGATATTGTGATCTTCAACAGATTTTTCGGTAGTGTAAACCAAAGAATATACAGGATGCTTAGTGAATGTTGTATCATTCACTAGTCATAATGCATAGAAACGTTAGGCCTTCTTCGGATGTACTAGTTTTTAGCTTACAAACATGCTTCTCTGCTCAATTAAACTGTAATTTTTACTTCACGATCCATTTGTAACAAACATTCCACGAAAGTGATTATTGTTTCATACTTTTTTCTTGAAAGAAGAATACTATGTAAAATTAAAGTTTGCCTAAAATTGACTTAGATTTGTTTCTTTAAACTTCTTGATAGTTGGTTGTCTTGAAATTTAGCCTAGTAAGTTTCATACTGTAGCCAATATGCTTTAGAAATATCACTCTCCAAATGTATGACTGAGTATTTCTAAGTGTCACTCAGTGTAACCGGCTTTCTGTTACTTCATTAACTACTGCTATCAAACAGCGTGTAACTACTACTGAAAGTGGGACAGAAATGGGAATTGAAAAATAAGCATTTCAACTTCTACTTTTTACCTTGTTACTTTTCATGGATTTAGGATGATACAAGAGAAACAAAACTCACCACTCTCTACATCTTTAAAACTAAGCAAATGTCATCAATATGAGTAATTTATATTTTTATGGTGTTGAATTCTGCAAATAGGATGTTTTACCAGTGAAGATTTATTCAGAGTTCTAAACAGACCAGTCGGCATAAACTTCAAGAGAAATAGGATACAAGGAGTGAAGGAATTGTAATCGTTTCATCATATTAGCAGTAATGATAATGATTGCTTTATTCTAAAACATATTTTGGGAATAATCTACACAGTTTTTAGCATTTCATATAGCATCACTTGGATAGAGACAGTTTACATGTATGTACATAACAAAATGAAATAAGTAGAAATTATGTATAAAAAGATAAGAACATTCACTGTCTCTTTAACTTTCTTCAAAAATGCAAAGTTAATTTAGATAGATAATCACACTAGCCATTAGCTTCATAATACGTAAATAATATCATGCTCATTATCAATTAGATTACTTTCATAATCAAAAGTTGATTAGTTGGCTCATTTCTAATATTTTCTTTGTTGCACAAGAGGTAGACCAAAAAGGTATTGTGGAGTTTTATATTTGAGTAGTACATGCATAAAGCTTTATATACTTGCTCATGGTCTTACCTGACGATCAACATTTAGAGAGGTTTGAATGAAGAGGATGCTAGCCACCTGAAAAATTACTCCTGATAGATGTTCATACGAGTCAATATGTTTGTCGACGGCTGTTTTAACTAGGAGGTTCAGAGGTACACCACTAGTTCTGCTGACAATCTTCAAAGTCCTGTGCAGTGTAGAATAGTCTTTTTCATCCACCCAGGAAAACGTGAAGAGGAACAATAGAGGAGGACATGCGAGATGTAGGAGTTTATAAAACACAAGTGGGGGGACTGAGTTATGTCAGATACTCTCAGCTTCCTAATACAGTAAGTGAGGTGGAAAATTCTTTCTGGAATTGTTAAGATATGAGGAGACCAGGAGAGGTCAGTAGAGAAACACACACGTGGCGATAAATCACACGTGTAACATTCTGTAATATGCAACCCTCAGTGGAACAGGAATCATCGGAATTAAGGAGTTTACGTAGGTTATGTTGACGTTGGAAACAGAAGTTGATTATGTGACTTCACACACTTTGTGAATGCGAAGCTTTACTTACTATTTGGACCTAAACTGTGTGAGGGATCAGGGATTCGAGTCATTTGAAAACATCTTTTCCAGTGAATTGTGGATAGTATTCTTCATTGGATTTGCGCAGATAGAAGGGTATGGGATATTTGAGTTGACGCCCAAAGTATTCGTTCAGAGCTTAGTCATTAACATCCGCTTGTTTATTAGGATATTTTCTACCAATGAGGATGTTTCAACATGCTTGAAGAGCTTTTGCATGACAAAATTTTCCGGTTATATAATGGACTCAGATATTTAATTTCCTGTCTTTTGTAAGTGTTCAAACAACGAGCAGTAGCATTATTACTTACTTTTAATTGTCTTTCTTTTTCACTTCATAGTCTCTTAAGCTGAGGAGAAGGTATACGATTTAAGTGTAGGTAATATTTTTCAGTGGAGCAGCAGGCATCCGCGCAGAAATTGAGATACATATCACACCATCATTAGTGTCGTTCAAAACATCGATGTCAAATATATCCCAGTCTGTAAACTGCAGCATTTTTCTTAGATTAAGTATATTACTATGTGAATAGTTTCTGTTTACGATTTTCTAAATTTGAAGGTTATTCTTGTGTAGTTTGCTATATATTTTGAGCAAAATAAGTATACTGAAATAATCTCAGCTGAGCAATGGGCTTCTCCTTTGAGTCTCGTTGACGAATACC